GACGCCCCCGTCGAGCCCGCTCCGCCAAGATTTAGACGAAACGTATCAGGTCTAAGTGGACCACTCGCGCTCGACGCGAGTGCCTCCTCTTGTCCGTCTGGCGTCTGGGTTTCTCATGAACTCTGGGGCTGAGAGGGTGCTTCTTCCCTCTCTTATGTCGCGGTCGTTTGGACTTCGACATAGAAACATGCCTTCGCTTCTTCCTTCTTTGGGGAGCCCGTGTGACAGCTGTGCCACTCGTCCTAATCTGGACTCTTCTCTTAGGCCTTTGTAGAACAAAAACCCATTTCCTTTTCTTACCCAACGTTAGGCCCTTCACTTTCCTAGTTTCTACTCTCTTCCTCTTCCTCGAGCTCTCACCTACCTCGAAGCGTCCCGACGGTTCTTCGTCCGTTATCTTAGCTTTACCCTTTCCTTTAGGATCTGATGGTCTCGGAGCAGGAGTAGGAATCTCCCTTGACCTAAACAACTTTAGTCTAGCTCTCGCTACAGGATCCTTCCACTTTGACCCATCTAGCTCAGCAATCATATAGGCTCCCCAGTTTAACGCACCCACTACTCGATAGGGCCCCATCTATCTGTTAGCCAGTTTTCCCGTCCATGTTCTTTGCAAGGCGACGTCGTAAAGGAGCACCATATCGTCGACCTTGATCTTTTCCTTTCTGATTTTGACGTTTTTGTCCCATCTCACTTTGTTCTTTTCTCTTTCTACTGCCAGTCGATCGGCGGCGGTCATGAAATTGTCTTCCAGTCCGTAAGCTATCTGCCTAGTCCGGGTTGCCAGTAATTCCTCTCGTGCCATGTCATCTGCCCAGTTAACCGTGGTCCATTTGTCAACGTGAAACTCTATGGGCAGGGGACAGTGCCTTCCAAACCATAGAGTGTAAGGAGGGTAGCCCGTACTAGCTCGGACCGTGACATTGTCCGCCCATATCGCGTACCTGAAATACTTCGGTCAGTCGCTATCCTTCCCTCTCCACCACTTGGATAAGGACGCAATCAATGGCTGGTGGCCTCGCTCTACAGGTGCATTGGACTGAGGGTGATAGGCAGTAGCAATAGATACTCTAGCCCCCGCTTTCTTGAATACACTCTGTACCTCGTCTGCTAGGAACTTTGTCCCTCTATCCATCACAATCTTACTGACAGATCCGTATCTAGACAGATACTCCAGGACGAAGTTCTTAACTTCTCTTGCTGCCTTCGTCCTAATAGGCTTGCCATCGACGAAGCCAGTGAAATCATCCCTGATGTTCACTACATAATTCATGTTCCCTAAGTTCTTCGGCATCTTCACCAGATCAATATGCACTTTCTCTCCTGGTCTAGTAGGATATGAAGGATGAAGTGGCTCCTTATATCGGATAAGGGACCTCTTCTGGAAGTCCTCACAAGTTTTCCAGTACTTTTCGACGTCTTGTATTGTCCTTCCCACCAATATAGTCTGCAAACCTTTTCGTATGTCCCTTTTACTCCTCTATGTCCTCCTACTACACCGTCATGTAGCTCCGCCACTATGGACTGTTTCTCCTCTGGATCACAGATCACCCGCAGAGGCATCCCTGCTCCCACAGGCCGACGAAACAGATGTCCAGCCCTAAGGCAGTACTGCGCCGCCTGTCTCCGGGTCTCCGAATCAGGGCTCCCCTCTCCCGACAGATGCAGCCCTATAGTGCGATACTTACCTTCATAAAGATTACTAGGAAACGATTCGTTCGTCTAGGCTCGGTCATAGTTAGTGCAGCAACCGATATTGGTCGATCTGCCTCGATGGGGATTCCTGAAAGTCCATCGGCGACAGCGTTCTTCGCCCCGGAAATCCTCTCTACAGTAAAGTCATAAAATCGAATCCTGATCAGCCATCACACGATCGTAGGATCCGTCAAACTGAAGTCCTTCTGTAGGATCGACGCTACAACTGTAGGGTCTTCCCTAAGAACGAATCGTCTCCCGTATATGTAATGCCTAAACATATCTAAGCACCGCAGAACGGCCAACACTTCCTTCTTAAACTGACTGTAGTTACGCTCTGCAGTGTTGAGTATTCGGCTCTTAAACCTCAACGGTCTCTCTTTACCTTCAGCATCCTTCTGAGAAAGCATGCCCCCAACCGAACATGGTCCAACATCCGTGGACACTATGAACGGTCTGTCCGTCTCGTCCTCAAAGAACGGCACACCAAGAATTCGACCGCCTTCTTTAAACTCTTCCTTGAGGAATTGCACTGCAAGCTCTTGAGAAGAATCCCAGTAGAACTTCTCAGTCTTCCTAAGAAGTGTGAGCAGAGGCTCTGCCTTCTCCGCATATCCGTGTATGAAGATCCGCCAATAACCTAACAACACCTAAAAACTGGCGGACTTCAGTTGCACTGTGCAATGGAGTCGGTCAATTCAACACCTTCTCCAGCTTCCCAGGGTCAAGGCATCGACCTTTCGCATCGCATATAAACCCTAGAATTTTAATCGTTGATACGGCCCATCGACTCTTTATCCCGCTAATTGTTAGGTTAGCTTCATCTAGCTGCTTTAGGACAGCGTAAATATCCGCCAGATGCTGCTCTACGAACCTCCTCACGCCAGGAGCGACTTTCGTCTCATCTTTCAACACCGGTCCTTTTATCGGAAAGTCGTCGAGGAAAACCTCTACTTTATGAGGGATAAAGTCTTTCAGAACCGCTACCATGGATCTCCGAAAGACCGCCACTACATTGGTCCATCCATCTGCACTAATCTGAGCGGCGTGTGCATGGCTGTGAAATGCCTATCTCTCGGATCTAGAGGTATCTCGTCATATCCTGAAAATAAATCGCAGACAGAATAAATGGATCTGCCTGCCGCTTCTTCTTCTAATAGATCAGCGTGCCGTACGGAGCCTACATCCCGAATCGTCACAGCGTTAACCTTCTGAAGGTCTTGAATCCACCGAATCTTTCCGTTAGGCTTCCTTAAGAAGAACCATCTGTTCGCATAAGCGTTGTCACAAGGCTCAGCTACGTGTGACGTCATCTTCTCTTTGAGAAAGGAGATCACCTCTTCCTTCTCTTTCAGAGCAAACTTCCACCCTGCATCATTCCATGGTGTATGCGTAATCGTGTAGATCCTCGCCGGCTTAGCATATCTAGGATCAATCCTTCCTCTTTCCGCATCACTGAATGCTATAGCTTTGTCACAAGACTTAAGGACTTCCAACACTCGCTTTTTCTCTGGCTCAGTTAGATTCCCATCGCCTATGTCTATCTCTGCGATCCTCTTTTCTGTCAGCCATTGCGGCTCCTTTCTCTTCTTTTCTTTAATTTCTCTAGCGATCTCCTCTTCAGACACTCCATCTAATGCAGATCGCTCTCGTGCTACGACCGCCTGCTTAACCTTCTGAGCTACTGTCTTGTGTCGTTTTGGTCGCCCCCCGTAGGGGGCTGTACCCTTAAAAAAAACACAGATATCATCCCTCCGAATTCCTCATCTTCTGCCTTAGGATAGGCGTTCCTTCCTACACGTACCCGAGTCCCTAAATCCTCGACTTTGACTATCTGACCTTCTTCTTCTGTAAGTAGAGGTCCATACTTCTTTTCGCGAAAGCTTAGGGATCGACTCGCAAGGGGAACTGGTACACGGCCCCCTATGGCGAGAACCGCTCTATTCCTCGGATCGCGAGGCTCTACCGTCTCCATCATAATCCGCGCACCGTCCGGGCGCTTGATGGAAAGCATCTGGCTTCCATCCGGTCGTTCTATAGTAACGGCATGGACGTGACTTAGCCATGTCCGTCCCAATAATAACTCTGCGCTGCAATCCCGAACTGCGAAGACAGGCATCATCACTCTCAGTCTTTCGACGTCGATTGCTACCTTGTGACAAACTCCTGCGACCTTCTACTTCCTTCCATCAGCGGTCTCTATCTCAAATTGGTATGACCTATCCAGGTCTAATCCCAATTGGGCCGCTAGGCCCTCGTCTATAATGACAGCCTCGCTGCCATTATCGATTACGACATGAAGGACCATCTCATCGTTGAGGGAAGTCTGTACTGTCCCACTGCCTAGAATGTAAAACTTGTTGGGGGGGACTCCCTCTATCCCATCTAAGAACACCGTCGCGGCACGATCTGCCTTCGCGACCACACTAGATGCCGCTACTGTGGGTCTCTCCCTCTTGTTTGGTTGCCATCGGGACTTCGTCGCTCAGAGGAATACGTGTTTTGCGCGTAATCATCTGCAGCTCATCCCGCGCTGGTCTCGAGGCTGCCAAGTACTCTAGGATCGTGCACTGCATAGGCTGCGTAAGAGCGCGCCTAAGAGGTTCGACAGTGTTTATGTCATCCAGAGTACTCTTCATCGTGAACTTTTTCGCCCCACGTTTACGTGGGGAAAGTATGACTTCTTCTCCTTCAATCCTCTGCCCATCCTTCGTTGCCATTACGTAATCAGTGTCAGCCTTCTTAGAGGAGGAAGCTCTGGCGGACTTAGTTGCTGCCACCCGTATGGGTGTCATAGGACTCTCCTCATCAGAAGACAGACTCAGTCTCACGCTTTGGGTTCTTGCAACCCCTTTACCCTTGTTCGGTACCACTCGCCTAGCCTCCACGTTTTCCTTCATTGAGGGAAACATCGATACATCGCTGAGGTTATCTGCCCACTTGACGTACTTGCGATCATCAAGTACGACAAGCTCCTCATCTATTGCCCGTTTGAGGTCAGGGCAGTCTCTCTTGAGGTGATCATCTCCCCTGCAATAGATGCAGGAGTTCCTAGGGGTAGGGGGTCGTTCTTTCACAGACTTAATCGTCGGTTGTCTCGCATCCTGGTTAGATGGCCCAGGAGATCTAGGGTAGTTTGGGGACTTGGGATACCCTGGCGACGCAGGATATCCTCGTCTCTCATGTTGTCCGCCTGACTCTTCCCTATGATCGCCACCTCTCTCAGTCCGCTCGTAACCGCTTCGATATTCATCTCGGCGGTCCCTATTCGAGTCCCATCGACCGCGGGAGTCCTTTCTATCCGTCGAGTTAAAGTTGCCCGGGCTCCGGTACCCTTTGGCACCCCCACCGTATCTGGGACTGCGCGGGTACTGGTCTCTGGGACTGCGCGGATACTACTCGGCTCTGTCTCCTCGACCGTAAGAATCTCCCCCTCGATACTCATAATGCCGGCGGTCTCGGTCTATATTATCATCCCTGCACCTCCGCTCTTCGTCCTCACTACGTCTTTGATCGTCTTCTTCTCTGCGCCTTCGATCCTCCTCGTCTCTTCGTCTCCGTTCATCTTCATCTATTTCCCTCGCGTGATAATCAGCTAACGTGCGAGGGTTATGGTTTTCGACGCTCCTCCACGGGTCGGTATTCCGACGATCCCAACGCAGAGAGTAGGGGGATCCAGGCTTGTCCCGGTATGTGGTTCCGACCTTTGTTTCGAAATTTGCTATTTGTCTGGCCATTTCCTTTATCTTCTCTTGCATCTCCTCTATTACTGCGTCATTATCCCATGACCGATGGGATTTGTCCCAGTCCATCAAATATCGTCGTTCTGCCCAAGGTTTGTCGTTGAAGTCGGGACATCTATCAGTCCCATTCTCCTTGTAAAATGAATAATCCTCGCGCAGCATACCTCTCCAGAGCAAATCCTTATAGTCATCGGCTTCCGCTTTCATGGCCAGCTTTAGCAACGCCGTGAATTCCAACTTCTCGTGAGGCGTCTCCCTCAGTACTGCCTTTCGCTTCCCCCTTGGCAGTTTGCCGAGAAAGATTGTGCATCTCTCTACCTCCGATAACTTTCCTCTTGTCATGAGGGCATCGGATACCTTCTGAAAACGCATACCAAATGCTTGGACACTCTCGCCCTCTCTCGGGGTCAACGCCCTCAAATCCTGGATCGAATACTTGACATCTTCTAACTTGAAAAACTCGTAAAGGTTGAACTTATACGTAGCCCATCTCTTGTCCCTAGGTCGGGCTTCCTTTATAACCCGGCTCAGACTTGGGTCGGCGTTAAACAAGAAGTTATCTATAATCTCGCCCTCAGTCTACTGACTCCGATAGGCATGCAACTCCCACTTCTCAAGGTATTCTGTGATACCGCATCCCAAGAAAACAGGAGGCCTGGAATCTAATTCCGAGGGCTGATGCGAGATGATGACTCTGTCCCTCGCCTCATATGGCAAAGGGTGCGATTCCCCCGTCTCGGGATCAAAAACCCGTCTGGCCATGGCAACTCTCTCTCTATCTCTCCAGAGCTTCTCTCTAATAAATTGATCTCTCCAGTCTTCCCCTCCTAGATAGCCTCTATCTTCTCTACGCTCATACATAGATGGGCATTGAATAAACGATTCGCGTCGAAAACTCGGAGGCTCCGTCTGTATGTCCGGTCGCTCTAACAGTGCACCCCTGTTGGGCTCGGTAAAAACAGGAGGTGCCATTACCTCGGGTTCGCCGTCGCCCTGCTGCTCCACACACCTCAGAGGGGCATTCTGTCGAAGACGCTCCTTGAGGTCTTGCAGGGCCCGATCCGGCGATGCTCGATATACCGCCTGTTCCTCGTCCGGATGCGGCCCCATTGTATCAGATTCCATATACCTCCCCCTTCCCGATTTGCCAGGTCAGCACCGACACCCTGCACCTGTGAATAAATCCACAGCCCGGACCTATGAAAGAATCCGCAGCCCGGACCTGTGAAAGAATCCGCAGCCCGGACCTATGAAAGAAACACAATCACTCGTCCACGACCGCTCTCAGGATCGCACCAAGTCTCCCAGCCTCGGCTCGCATCTCGTGCTCACCCTCGATACCTAAAATCCCCGAGTCAAAATAAGGTTCTCCGTCCTGCTCTTCTATGCAACAAACGCCTCTCCTAATCTCTATAACTCCGGACTCTGGTATCCTTACTCTCCTACAAATTCCTGCCGCGATCCTCCTCAACTCCTCCGGTGCACAAGAAAGCAAACTCCCTCGTAGGCCGACCGATATCCTTCGCGCTAAATCACTCAACACGTGATGTGCGATTCGAGCTCCTGCGAGTGGGTAATCACCCCCTACGGCCATCGAACTTAAAGTATCGAAGTGCTAGGCCAACCACTGCCTCATTGCTTCTCCCTCGTACCACCTGATGCGGTACAGGAGGTCTGGGTAACCCCTGAAAGAGCGTAATCTGGGAGTTCCAGATTACCTCCTTACCTAGCGCTTGGAGCCTATCCCGCTCATTTTCAACGACTTCTTCCGCACGCTCCCAGCACCAACCGTAAATCAAATCGCCTTCGCGCTCAACTAGGAGGTAAATCCTAACATCATACACCTGCACGACAAAGAACCGAACGGTGATAATGTAAAGGCGTATCTGCTCCCATCCGCTGTCCACTAACTCGTATGTCACTACTTCGTACGGAACCACTTCTCTTTGCCCCAAAGAACTCAACTGGTCGCAGACTTTCGCCAACTTCGTGTCCAAAGGTCTGTTGCCCGCAAGACACCTCTCTCTCCTAGCTTCGAGCTCGCTCTCAGGGATGGTCGTATCTTTACTCATCCGAGCATCCTATTCATCCTTAACGTTCTTTTTGAGCTTGCCGACAGTCTTGACTGCCTGAGCGAATCCAACTACAGCCTCCCATTTGTTTCGCTCTAGCCCTCGATATGGAACAGGCGGCCTAGGTAGACCTCCAACAATAGTGACGTCATCGCAGACCTCCACAATCTTCCCGAAACTTTCTAACCTCTTCTCCTCTTCTCTCAATGCCCACGCAGCTCTCCTCCAAGTCCTCCCGTATACACAAAATTCTTCTCTTTCTTTAGGCAGATATATACCAACGTGATATACCTTTAAGTTTTGAAACCGGACGGTCATAATATAGTATTGATTGCGTTCGATTCCACTGTTCTGCACTCGATACTTAATCACCTCGTAAGGGAAGATTTCTCGTTCGCCTAAAGCGCTTAATTCTGCAAGTACTTTCGCATGTTCAGGTTCGTAAGGACCACCCCAAAGCCCGAATCCTCTTCTCCTCCCGCTAGCTCTGCGTCTGGTAATGGCATCTCTCATGTATGAGGTATCTAACACTCTGCTGCGATTAGTGTCAGGGCTAACAGGACTCTGTCAGTGGATTCTTCCAAAAACTTATAGAATGTCTCAAAATCGTCTATATCCCCAAAGTCTTCAATATCTGATAGAGTCTGAAGGTACTCATTCCAATACCGGTTGTGTGCCTGGAATATTCTGAGAACTGAACTTTCTCCTATGATCTCCACCAGATCTCCAGCTTCCTCTGCTTCATCCTCCAGGAGCCTCTTGGCCTCCCTAGAAGTCTCTCGCCAGGCCCTATTTAGAGGTGGCTCGTCAAAAGGGGTAACGTGCAGCGAATAGTTGATTAAGCACGAACTCTCTTCCCCTACCCAGAGTCCGGTCACTCGCGCCTTCCGTATGGCTCATCGAGTGTTCTCCGCCTCTTCTATCACAATTAATTTCTCCCGATGGACCAGTTGTATCACAACACAAGAGGTTTGCCCATTCAACCTAACTGTTATACGCATATCACATTTCTCACTACTCATCCTCTTCTATCATCGTCCTGACGTTCCCTCACCTTTCGTCTCCCTCTCCGATGTCACTGCTTCAGACACCTCGTCTGCTTTCCCGGTCGTTTCGAGCAAGCCCTCTCCTAACTAATATGAACTCTCCCTTTCACACTTTCCAGAAAATCAAGCCTCCCCGTCACGAAAAATTCTCTATCTTCCCTCAAAAGTCTTTGCGAAGCATTCGTTGCCGCTTCTATCTTACGCAACTCGCTCTCACTCTTTTTCGGTACGCAATCCTGGATCTTGACGCCAAGCTCTCTGACTAGTTTCACTACTGGTTTAATAATCCGATTATCGACTCTCTTTTTCCTTCCTTCCAGATCCTCCATCACCTACAACCCATCTTTCTTGTTCTCATGAACTTCCTATCACATATTACTCCTAGCTTCGGAGGGTGTCTCGTCCCTGATTATCTCCAAGCGCACCCTTCCTTTAACGCACACGATCACCTCATAAACCACCCAACTTTGTACTGTTAATTCCATCAGCGCTCCTAGTCTTTGCTCCCGTATGACATCTTCTGCAAGTTCTTTGAACTCGCTGTCCGACAGTTCTTTTTCTATGCTCACTCTCAAGAGGATCTGTAGGGTCTCGTTGTCACACGTTAATTGCCTAGAGATAATCCGAGCATAGGGAAGACGTCGCCGAGGAGAGGGACTACTCATCTCAGTTCCTCGAGTAGCTACTCGGGGGTTCCTCTCACTCACGCTCCTCCAGGACTCGGCCCCTCTACGGTCCCACCGAAGTGAATAAGAGGCTCGAGGTCTATATCGATACAGTTGCTGCTCGTGTTCCGTCATGACAAGGTAATCATACTCTACTCCTGGCCTCCGCTACCGTCTCATTGAAGAACAACTTAGTGCATAGGTACCCTGCTCACCACACCATCACTTCATAAGTTATCTTGGTCTGAAATGTGACGCATTCGAGAACTCCCGGTCTTTATTCTCTGATAAATTCCCTGGCTTGCAGAAAACTCTCCTGGTCTGTTAGGATATCGTCTATGTGAGCTCTAAGTAGGACTGTAATCATGAAGCCCTCGTTCACTAATTGCTTCCTCACACTCACCCCCGTAATCGTCCGACCTGGCATCTCCTCCACTAGCTACGCCCAAACAGGTATCTCAGGTCCTCCAGCCCGATGAACTTGTCTTCTGCGCGTCTTCGACAATAGTAAATCAAATCTGCAGGTTTTAGGCAGTCTAGCCAGGAGGTAGCATCTAACAAGTCTCTCTCGATCTCCTTACCAGGAGGTCCCCACCTTACGCAAATTGAGTAATATGCTTCTAGGAATCGACGCTCTGGTCCCCGTAAGAATGCATGTTAAGTGTGGTCGGCCGCTTTCGTCAACCAGTCCACACCTCCGTAAGTTTGTTCTATAACAAACTCAGGTAACACCATCCGCCAGCTCCCTAGAGGATGGTAAATCTGTGGAGGAGAACCGATCACAATTCGCGTGGTAAAAGGCCTACTTCCAGCGATGCTAAGCAGTTGTCTTCTCACTATCGCCTCTGCTAAGATCTCATATTTCCACCAGATCCTGCTAACGCCTACAAGGGTCAGGCCTATCTCTATATCTCTCTCCTTATCAAACACAAGGTATCCTATACCCTTCACCTGCCGGGGAGACCCCTGGTTCTCCATAATCACAATCCACAAGAAGACCCCTTTCGCCAGCCAAGTACCGAAATGTTGGATCGGCACCCAATTTCCTACCTCTAAGCGCACCGGAAGCGGAACGTCATACCCCAGCGCCGTCTCTCTTGGCCCTATGAAATTTATCTCTCTACGAGCCTCTGACCCTCGTGTCAATATATACGTCAACCATATGTCCCAATCGCTCCTCATCACCGCATGTCGCTAAACTTTTGCCACTCCAGTTCTCTCCGACACACTCGATCTTACGACGCCACTACCTTCTCAGACAACTCTACCGGTTAGGCTCAAGACAGTCGAGTAGGTGCTGTGCACTCTCCCGTCAGCTCCATGGAAGTATATGGTAAACTCGACATATCTCTGGCCTCTCTGTATCTCGAGAGCGTGCTCGATCATGAGTCCAATCCGCCGCGCAACGTCATCCATCGCCTCCTCTTCCCAGCCGCCCATCCTATCTCGTCGTAAGGAGAGAGTCACTCTCAGTGTATCTCTGTTTGCCATCCCTAGTTGTCCTTCGTCTAAAGTTTTGTCCCCGTGTCTACTAACCGACCTCCCTTTACTCCCCTCTCTAAGCTAGACCCGGA